ATATATATATATATGTAACATGGATAGACTGTCTATAGAAACTGATTTCTAACTACTATGATATATGTTACGCATGAGTTTTTTTTTAATATCTCAGTCCATCCACATATTTAATGCTTTTCATAGCCAATCATCTCACAGATAGATTCAGAATGTGCGCACAGCGAAGCTGTGAAGCTGCACATTGAGGAAACGGCTATATGGTATTATTAAGATGTGTGACACAGAAACTGTGCCTGATATTCGTCAAGGAAGCTTTGCGATCTTTTGGAATCGAAGAACATTGAATAGACTCGTTTAATATCAGGAATCGCTACTTCAGTTGCGCCACGCTTTGTCGCAACAAGATTTGCTGTCGTGATCAGCTGAATGGCATACCTGGAATGCAAGAGCATCGATTAGCCAAAATATAGAAATTAGCTTGTTTTATTGGCACACATGTTGTGTGTGCAGGCAAATTCCAATCGACGACGTTTCGAATAAAATTTAGAGACACCAGGTAGATTTTTTAATTGACTGAGCCATCGCCGCTCCTCTACAATGCATTTCATTTACATTTGCAGACTGCTAATACTCTAAGTTGGTGAAGCCTACAAAGACTTTCTAGGGTGTCTCACCATTTTTTTTTTAGAAAGGTAAGTTATTACTTTCACTTTTCGTACAAAATGTTAAAGGTGACCGTCTGTTTTCCTGGGTGCGCTTCATCACTTCTATAGCACATGAAACCTGTTGTGTTACGAAATGGAACCCATTGAATCAGACACAGAGAAATCACATTCAGTTCGCTGAAATTCTATAAACTTCGCTTCCTTAAAAACTGTGGTACTTATACGACAGTTACATGTTTATTTACCTGAGGGAGGTTTCAGAGCCGATTTTGGTGAGTATCGCGAGGGCATCGTCATTCATCTTAACATCTTCTTCTTCACAGCGGACCTTCAAAATTTGCTTAATCTCTTTCTCGACATACGGAATCGTTGAAATAATAAGCACACGATCTAATAAGTCCACAGGAATGCCATGAGGAGATGGATAATCTGTGCCTCGAACCTGTCATTCATGAAGTTCAGAGTACAAGACTTAGAATCAGTTCTGCCAATACTGAACAAAATGGTTGAACGCAGCTGCTAAATCCAATACAATCTCACAGAGCGCACCAAGTCGTTGACAAATCATGGTGCATCTTAGTCGTTTTTTGGAGATTGAACTGACAGGAAACTATTATAACTTGTCATAGCCTATGAACCGTCAAACTAGCGCAGTAGGTTTCGGAGCGAGAAACACACCAAACTAATAAGTCTGTAACATCTCTTTTTGGGTGTTGTATCTTGTTTCGCCAAAACCGCTAATGAACTATATTTCCAAAGCCATGTTCAGTAGTTTTTTTTTGCAAAATCGCATAGCAAGTACGAATCACATAATAAGTAACGATTACGAAATAATAAAACAAACCATGGTGAACAGCATCGGCGGTAGTTTTTGGAAATTATTACCTTCGTCATTCCTCTGTTGGTAGCCATGATAAGGATAGGGGCAAGGTCAGTCTCTAAAGCGCGATTAAGAAAACTGAAGCACTCAATGTCCAGCATGTGCACTTCATCGACGAACAGAACTCCTGGGACGATGTCTGCTTTGCCCTCCTCTCGCCACTCTGTTACCTGTCGCCAAACGACATTCAAATAAACGAACATTTATTGTTACGTACAACGGAAATCTCATCAATTAAGAAATAATAGGAGCTTCTCGAATTGCTTGACATCATTTTGGTGTCTGCTACACATTTTGTGCATTCTTACTTTAAGAGATGTTTGGTGAAACCTGTTTACATAAGCTCATGTGTCACTAATTACCTTAGCATTAATCTGCTCTCGGACCTCAGCTTTAATTTCACCTGTATCTCCCGAAAAGAGCGCAAGGAAGCCGTGTGTTCTTGAGTTGATTACGTCAATCTCATGCAAAGTCACTGTATGGACAACCTGGAAATAAAGTAGTAAATTCGACAATATTTCAAGTACTTGAGAATATTCAAATTTGCTTTTGTCTTAAACATTTATTGAAAAAGGCAGTTAGAAATGAAGGAAAATCGAGTATATGAAATACTATTGAGATTTATTTAAATATGTCAGCCAAATAAATTTTAGTTCAGCTACCCGTGGTATATCTATAGATATATTCTGCGACAAGAAGAACTTTGTATTGTAAATCTGAGCAGAAATAAGTAAAGTCTCTGTCGTGCTTTGTCTAAAATGTTTTGTTACCTCTTTCCGCTTCTGCAATTCACCCTCAGGGCATTGAACGAACTTCGACTGCGGTCCGGTGGCATCGTAATCCCGTGCCCTAGTAAAACTCCGTCCCAACTTTGTGACTTTTCCGGTTGCTTTGTCAATAGAGATGATATCCCCCGCGACGACCTTCTCCTTTAGCATCGACTCTATCATCTTTGAACCCAGGTCGTAAACAGTCTCCATTTCCGTTGTCTTCAAAGTCAATTTACCGACCTATTTGATAGTAAGAGAACAAAATAGAAGTAGCAATGCAACATTTTTAATTGTTTTGAAATGTTCGGTTTAAATTTGGTCGTAATGTGTGCATGTCTTGATTTGAATAATTGATATTTTTTTCGGTATAAGTATTTAAAAAGTCGATACCAAGATTTAGACTGCTGCTACAAGCTTCGGGAAATCAGTTGTATACATGTTTGCTTTAGCTTGATACTCGATTTTTCAACTACCTTTTGTTCAAAAGTTCACAAAGCGGATACCACAAATAGGGATAAACGGACATACTGAAATTGTCAAAATCAGATAGAAGTTCATTTGTGATAAGATTTGGTAGCCGCTATTTTTAGCATTTGTGACTGACGTTTGTAAATAGTAAGAAATTCATAAGCATATTATGAGCGTTCAGTTTTTTGATGTACTACTATTAGTAGAAAACGGGTACCTTGATTCCCTGTCCAGTGGCTGGCCTATCGACTTGAATTTCGACCACTTCGCCTTCGATAATCTCTGTTTCTTCTTTGATGCGCACTCCGATACTCTTTCGCAATGCTTGCATGAGGGCCTCTGTTTTGCTAATATCAAGAGAGTAGATCTCGGAGCCTGAAATAGCGGTGAACGGCGTATCAGGCCCAAGAGCAGCTGCAAGCCCCATAGCGATAGCCGTTTTGCCAGTGCCAGGTTCGCCAGCAAGTAAAGCTGCTCGACCAGCGATTCTGCCCTCTTTTATCATTTCAAGAAGCAGCCCCGCAGCTCTGCGAGCACTAACTTGCCCAACCATACCTTGGGCTGTTGGTTTGGGCTCAAGCTTTTCATCAAGCCCTAAGCCTCGAATGTGTGAGTGTGCTCCAATACGTTCAATGCGTGTTATCTCTCGTAGCTCGCTAGTTTTTTGAAGAGTCATTTTCATCCAAAGAGTACTCTGGCGTTGCGCGTTCGAAACTTTCTACCGTCTACTATCACTGGTAACACATGAAAATAGTACTCACGAGTTTGTGTGATTATTTGAAAACTAACTGCGCTGGAACGTGGTAAATACCAACCTACCGGCGTTTACCCGTCGGCCAGTACCATTTGGCATTAAATAAAATGCACTAACCGTAGTACCGTATTTGATACCGATTTCCTTATATTTAGCTATGTTGATCAATGAATCAATCAATTATCTATATCATAATTAATATCCGACACCTTTTTTCAAGAAACGCGTACTACTCATTCATACCACCTTCTCTTTAAATTGAGAAATGTCATAAAGCAACAGACATAGAAGGTTCGGTCAGTTTTTCTAGAAATCATTGGTATTCGTTTAGATACACCTTGCTAAAATCAAATCACATCAGAGTAGGTGATACCAGCATTAGAGGGTCATAATCTTGCGCATAATTGTGACCTTATGTTGTATCTACCAAAGCACACCCGCATAACCTAGCAGCTTTGCTATGATGTTCTTTTATCTAAGTTTTTTCTTGATACTTTATACCGTTAGCCACTTTTATCTAATACTCGTTTTTATTCAAATTAATATTTGCGTAGCTTCCGAAACAATCTATGTATCCAGACGTTTCAAGAAATCTACATAAACAAAAATAGACGAAAGAAAATCATCTACTTTCTTTTAAGACTTTTACCAAAACATACAGCAAACAAATAATATTATTATACGGCCGTTTTTGATTGTAGTTTTTACGCAAATAAAAAAAAATCTGCTTTTCCAGATTTTTATTAAGACCTGTATAGTTTAGTAGAGCATTAAAAATTTAATAGGGCAAGTTAAACCTTAAGGGAACTCCTTTTTTAGTTCGAAAAGAAAGAGATACCCATTTTGATCATGGTTTGCTATATATATACCGGTCCTTGTAAGGTGAATGTCTTGAGCTCTAGTGAAATACTATTCACTTAGAGTTAACCCTTTTGACAAAAGCGTTCTTGATGTCAGGGCAGCTCTAAATACCTTTGGTCTCAAAAGAACCGCCATACGTATCAACCGATTTCCAAAGTAAATCTACATGGAATTTACTCGGTTGGATCGGATAATAATTTATTTCTGAAAAAAGAACATAAAGGAACGGGTATTATCCAAATGGAGTTTGCGCAACTCTTGTAATAAAAAAGTTTCTAATAAACCGTTATAATAAACATTATATTTTTGGACGATGAATTAAGTTATTTTCAAATGCGCTATTTATCGCCAACCGGATTATCCGGGATTTATTTCCAAAGGCTGGCAATAAATGCTAGTTATCTTGCCGAATAATGTACTTAGTGTTGAATATTAAAACGATTCCTTGATCTTTAATTTTCGAATTAATAAAAGTTATTTATGTTGCAGATGATGACCCTAAAACTTGTCGTTAGCCAATTCTCAGAGTCGAGCGGTCTAATTTTGCGCTGAGCGTTAGGTAAAGCATCATTACATTTTTGCCTAAAAAAACCGTATTATATATAGTTTGTTTTAAGAATAAGGTAGCAATATCAGACTTTGAAGTACATCTCTGGGGTTTTGGCGGAGTATTCATAACCTTGTGCACAAAAAATTGTTTTTTTTTCCTATAAATGATTCAAATAAGAGAAGCCTGCTCAAGCACTAAATATGATCAGGATGTAATATTCATATATGCATATCCATACAAGCGCCAAGAGGGAGAGATCACTTTGTAAAACTAAAACATGCCACCGCTTGTAAATTTTGAAGTGAACCGGTGCAAGTCAAATATCATTGGGATCTTTTAGAGTCGGAAAAATGAATTTTGTTTGCACACTCCTAAAAGTTGTAGTCAGATGTCAATGGTGAATGAATTTTTCGATTAGCTTGAAAAAATAGCTTTTAAAAATTTGATTAGAAAATTGATATTAGGAGCTATACATACACTGAGAAGTTTCAGTATCTAAACTGTGAAAGGTTATATAAGTAGCTTTCTGAACATTTCTTTTTTGAATCGAACTTGAATAAAAGTTTATTTATATGACAGTAATTTTAAACTGAAGGAATTTGAGCGCGGTAGCGAGATTTTGAATGGCATATCGAAAACATCTTTTGGTAATGTGCCTTCGACACTGTAAAAAACAATGATCATACCGACGTTTGTAGGCACCTAAAATGAACACGTTAGCAATATTGTCGATTAATTAGGTTCATATGACACTTAACAATGTTTACATCCCACTTATCGACTCTTGTATGTGTATAGAGTAAGACAAAAGTCACATGGCAGCTTGCGAGTCTTGACGTTTTTTCTTCACTCACTCGTATTTGTTTTGCATTTATTTTTCTTGCTTTCCCTAAGATGTATAAGAATACGCTTAAATTGTTGAAAGACTTTTTCAAGCTGCCAGTACCTTTGCCCCACCATATACTAGGTATAAGCTTACCAAATCAAGCATTTTTGTTGTAATATTATTAAGCAATACGTAGATTCGCTTGTTTGAGGCTTTTGTGCGATTTATTAAACATGTGAAGAAGCTCTTCCTTGCGTTGTGTTAATAATCGGATGTAAGGCCTTGCCCATCAGTTATTGACATTTACTTTAACTTCTATGTGTTATTGCTAAGACCATTATAAAGTGTTCAAGTTAACACAGCGAGTTTTTCAGTGGGAAATACTTCTTTTTGTGCTTGTTGGTGTGCTATTGTATTTTAGAAGCCGTTAGCTATTAATACGGTCCTAGGAGTTGCCTGAATCACCTGAGCGGATTATGACTGCTTTAAAAGGAGTTCGAACCTGGCGTGAATTGCAAGATTCTTACCATAGGGTTTAGAAATATAATCAAGAGACCTTTCTTTGTTCTATTGCACGCACACGTATGTAGCTTTATGAATTTGGGGCGGTCAATATAGAATTTTGATTTTATATTGACCGTCAATATAAAAACAGCTGTTATATTAGATTAAACGACATTCACTCTAACATACAGGGCACGTGAGAGTGAAGTGACTAAGAAACCATCTTGATTTATTAAGTTGAAGCAGCGCTACCACTGAGACATATAAAACTTATGACAGAAAATACAAGCACGTTATCTAAATGACAATATTTCTTCAACCTTCTTAAAAAAATTTGTAAGCGCAACTCTATTTTTTTCATACTACACTTTTTTACGCTTGATGGTAACAGTTAATAAGTGAACGCTATTATTTAGATTAGCGCAAGATAATTATATTCCTATAATGGATTTCTATTACTTCGAATTATTTATAATATATTAAAAAATTTCAGTAGGTTTTGTAGTACTTGACAGTACTTTGTTATACCATTTATGAGCGCATGGGACACGGTTCTATAAATTATGAAAGCTATTTCAATTATTCTAAGAATTTAAGAAATTTACGAAATTGTTTTCGATTTTTAAATTTAAGAAAAATTTTAAAAAAATGTTTTATAACGTTTCATTATCTGACGAAGGCCGAATAGGCTTCTGGCTCCATTAAAGCTCGTAAGTGTGCGTGAACTAAAAAAGTCCGGTATTGTCTACATTTTTAATGTGTGTTTTTGCTACGTATGATTTAATCTTCATATATTTACTTCTTGTTGTCATGTTATCTTTGGAAGCCCACTTTATAAATCATATTCCCAGTTCATGAGAAAGAGATCCGGGTCAATAATATAAAATCAATGTATGTCGTTTTCAGGTATCTTTTTATTTTGTCCCTCTCTATGGGAAACCGCTCAAAGCGCGGTCTTAGTTGATCGGAGTACAAGACTAGCAAAGGTATAAGTGTTTCGGGAAAAACTAGAGAGCTCTGCTTCTTAATAATACTTTGTTTGTGCCTCTAAAAAAAGCTTATCTTCTTTGCTTTCATTTAATCGAATATTCCATAATTCTATTCTTAATGCATTGTTGAGATTTTGCAGTGATCAACGACCGGTATCGAGAAGAGTACGTTAATTTCCAATTAGCTTGTCTAGATGAGCATCAGCGCACTTTTATCCGTTTTGCGCCTTTTTGAGCCTTTTTCATTTTTGACCGTTTTATGCTCCTGCACTGTTAGTAGTCCCAAAATCTAATTACGCTGAAGCTCCTTGTTTCTAGCGTATTTTATGATCCAATATCGCTTGATGCACGGTTATTATTGGAGAGTCATCTGAGCATTAACAACTGAATATTCTAAACATTACTAGTAAATGGTTGGGTCAACTGAAACTGCTCTTATGGTGGATGGTAGTTATATTAAATAAGCATGACACACAACGGAAATTTTGATGACAATATCTGATTTTGTATAAAAGCAACGTATAAGAAACAAGAATGGTCCATTTAAACGTGTCACTTATGTGTTACTGTAATGGGGAGCGCGGTTGTAAGCTATGACGCGTCGGACACAACATCGTTTTCACTAAGTAGCATCATTCGGGCGAGGGGTCCAGCGGTAGTCATGTCTGGTAACGTCATGACGTTCCACGAACGTGTCCTTTCCCTCGGCGATTGCGCGGCCTGTTACTACGCTCTCTACTGTTGAGGCTTCTCTCTGAGCCGTTCTCCCAGGGACGATCTTTTTCATGCTGGTACATTGGCACGATTCTGACTGTAACGACGGCGAGTTATGAGTTTAGTCTGTCTGCAACCAGAAAGAGAACGCTTTGTGTCATCGCTGTCGCGCATATCAACGACATCGAAGCAACGTTCACGGAGAACGAGTGATTGGCACTTAGCTAGAGATCTTCCTCGTGAAAGGCGTCTGAAGTCTCATAGTGCAGAAATACAACGACGAACACAGGGGTACTGAACATTTGGTTGCCGTTGCTATTCATAACAACTACTATGGTTTTCTTTTGAAGTGTGGGTGCTAATTGGCTGTGCAACTAAAAAAAGGCGCTTAGTGTTTACTGGAATGTTACTAGAGCTCTTGATTCGTGAGGTTGCTACCGTTAGTCCGACACCAAGCCTTCATTCAATTCAAGTTCGGTGTATCTACCTCTGCCTTCTTGCAAGTTCTGTTTTTTCTTTGCGACGACGGGATTAGTTGTCAAGTGCCGCAGTGCATCGTACTATATTATTATTGTTAGAACCAACAGCAAATTTGAT